TTCATTGTTAGTAATGCTATTAATAATAAACGAATATTAGGTAGTTTTATTATGTCCCAAAGTAGTTTATAACTATTAGTAACTTGAAGCTGCGCATTATTATATTCCAATCTAGTATCCTTTTCTTTTTTAAATATGCCAATTAAAGTTGCTACTAGTATGAATAAAATGCCACAAATGAATAATAATCCTATATATATAAAAAAAAAAAAATCATATCTAGAGTCTATAGAAAAATTACATAGTATAGTTTGTTCTTTTTGCATATATACATATATAATTTATTATATACATATATATATTATGTAAAAATAATTGTTGTTTTCGATATATGTAATATAAAAAATCGAATTTATATTTGAAAAAATATTAAATAGGCTTAATATTTTAATGTAATATTATAAAATTTTCAGCCAGTTTTAAGTGTGTAATAAATAGGATTTTTACACATTAGGTACTTACTTACTTTCGAGAGTCATAATACCTCCCATGCCGGGTGTGATTCGTAAGTATTTGTTATAAAAGTCCTCGGATGTAAGCAGAACGGGAACCACTGAACCTAACATAACGCCAATTGCAAAGCCCGAAGAGCTGCACACAGACGAATAACCCACATTGGCTCTGATAAAAACAATTTTCACTGGTTAATAATGTATTTTTAGAGTTATATTCTATATATTTATATATATATTGAAATAAATAATAATTATTATTTTATTCACTTTTTCAGCATCGTCAGTGCCCAACTGTCAACAACTATGTTCTGCGTTGAAGCCAACAGATTAAGGACGAAGAACACATACGTTAGTATTACGATGTTAGGTTTACCTGTATCAGGAATCCAGTCATTGATATTATTCGCCGCATAGAGTAAAAAAATCCCTGCTCATTTAAAATGAAAAAAAAAAGTGAACAATAATAATTATGTTATTAATCTACGTAGAATTATGGTTAGTAATATTGAAATGGAATAATTACCCATTAAGTATTGAACTGGCAAGAGCCAAGATTTCCTTTTGCCTATCCATTGTACATAATGAACATCCACTAACGGAGCCCAAAATAATTTCAGGCTATACGGCCATAGTACGTAACTCAATAATGCCTAAATCACATTGTATAATATATAATATATAATATAGGTGGAGTACATGAAATTATTAGTAAATCTCAGCAATTTGAGACTAAACTATCACTTTTTAATGATATTTTATTGCTGCGAATTAAAAATATTATTCAATTTGGCTGTGATACGAGTATGTACACTTAAATAATATTATTAAATAGTTATTAATGAAAAAAACTAACACTTTTCTAAAATTGAGTAATAGATAATAATTTTGAATTCACCAATGGCTTTAAGAGGCTTCTACACCTGCATGTGTTGTCTCTGTCTTCAAAATTTAAAACATTGTAAAAATTGTTTTACACTGAAAAGAACCTCTCAAGCTATAATCCAAGCTAAGCAACCAAATTTTCACACTATAAAGAGAAGAATATTTACAGTGCAACGTTGTTTTCATTTTTACGATATCAGAACTAAAAAAAAGTTATTTTAAAAATTATGAATTCTTAATCAATAAGAATTTGTTTCGTATTTGTTATATCGAAAAATTAAAAACAACGTTGCACAGTAAACATTTTCCTCTTTATAGTGTGAAGTGTGAACATTTGGTTGCTTAGGTTGGATTACGACTTGAGTGGTTTTTTCTCGCGCAAAACAATTTTTGCAATGTTTTACATCTGTAAAACACAGTTAACACACGCGGGTGTAGTGTCCTCTTAAATTTTATGGACAGATTRTAGGTGCCTAAATTATATTATTGTTATATTTATATAAGAAACTATTTAAAAACTGTTTACATTCACGTCTTCACGAGAAGAMTGAGAAGTGAATGATGAATTTGCAGTCATTTTCTATAATACCTGATGATGTGTTATTACTAATTAGTTATTAATTATTATTACTTATTAAATATATTATATATATTATTTTGGATAAAWCCACATTATTGTGCAGAACTTTATGACCTTTGGAACGTATTAATAATTAATAACGTGATTAAATAGTTTAATCATTGATTGATCTTAACTAGTTAAAAAATATTATTTATTACCTGTTCTCCGTAAGTTACTACTTTTTTGCTTTGCAGAATTATTGGTAGAGCTGAAATTGAAAATCCAAAAGGAATTCCTTGCATTATATACAGTAATATCAATAAAAATAAGTTCGACCGGTCTCCTTTTAAATTTGGTTTGGTAGACATCGAGTGGAGTGTCATATCAAGTTCCTCAGGTGAAATGTGATTTTGTTGTGAATTTTTCATGTTTGATCACCATGAATATAAAATATATTAAATCTTCTGTGAATAAGTGAACATAATAGTAAACCTAATACTTATAAAATGTATTTAAACTATGTGAACACTAAAATCAAGATTTGAAAAAACTGAATAATTATTAACAAGTTTATCAGAATATTATTTTATCATAATTTCGTGACCTATACTATGTAACGAATCTTATAACCAATTAAATCCTTCATATCTTAATATTTATATTTCATATTATACTAATTAAGGTTAATATAAACGTAAATAATATTTAAAATGTATGTTTTTTTAAATAATTAATTGAAATCAAATTTGTTATAAACAATTTATAATATAATGCTTAATACCATATTGTGGAACAAAATTTTAATTCCTTTATTCCTATTTGTTATATTGAATAATTAGTTTTGTATTTTAATATAATATATAAAAACATAGATCTAACTTAATCTACGTATTACAGGAGTTGACATTTCATTAAATATATGTATTTATATTTTATTAAACGACGTAATATTAATATATATAAATATTATGATACTATTGTTGACAGAACCAGGCCCATAAAATTCATGGATTAAATTTATTTTATTTTATTATATTTTTTTTTCTAACCAAATAATGATCCTTCAACTTTGTTTTTTTACTAATC